ACCGTCATAGAAAAAAAATTAAAGCTTGGAAAACAGAATATGAAGACAGACAAGTGGCTGGGTAGCCTGTGCAGAGCCGTCAAGACGAAACACTAACCCTGGTGTTTCTAACACATTAAGTCTGCGTTTTTTTACATCAAAACTACCCAAAATACACTAGCGATGTTGTATCAAAAAATCCTGGGAAAATAAAACACAATTATCAGATGTTTTGTCTGAATTTGTGATCTTCCTGAAATTGGGCTTCCTGTGGTGTGAGTTGAAAATCTTTATTGCCAATTTTTCTCATGTTTCACCGAACCGATTTTGGCGGATTTTTAGTATGTTGTTAAACAGCCATTCAACAAATAAATGGCGTTGAAAAAAATTCTGTTGCAATTAGTTTGATACTAAACCACAATTTGACTGGACTATAGTGGCAGGTCTTTCACTTTTGCCGCACCGGCTCCATGGAACAGCTTACCGGCTGACCTGCGTTATATGTCACAACACTAAGTGTTTTTAAAAACTAACTTAAGACGTTTCTGTTCAGGTCTGCAAATTATTCCCTACTTAATAATGTTTTTAATATATATATATATATATATATAATTTTATTTTGTAAAGCGCTATTGATTAGTTTATGTAAATTAGCGCTATATAAGTTATTAAATTTTTATTATTAGTATTATTATTATTATTATTATTATTAGTATTATTATTATTATTATTATTATTATTATTATTATGAATGAGATTGGCATTGACAAAAAGCAGCAACTTTATATAAAGCAGGACGTTCTTAAACAAACGTTTCCCGGGCAATAACTGGAGCTAAAAGCCGTCTTATATCATGTATTGAGGCAATACCAGGAGCCCATCAAATAGAGCCTCCATCTCCCATACAAGCCCTTGGAGCCAACCCTTTCCCGAGTAGATTTATAATCAGAACGGTTCCCAGGGGAGACTTCACGCGTAGGAGAGAACCCTGGGAACGAGGTTGGAAAGAGCCAATCATAACGACGAAATGACACTGCTATTGTACTTCATCAAACAACAGGAAATTCGGTGTTGACAGGCCAAACACAATCATAAGCCAGTGAAACGTGACTTAAGCGTTTTCATCCCTCAGAGATTTTCTTTCTTTTCTTTCTAGCCGGTAGATTATACTGTGGAGAGTTTTAAACTCTGACTATGTTAATCTTAATTTTGGTTGCTTGTTTCACATTAAGAGGCCATGAAACTGGTCTGTTACAAGCATAATGATTAACTACTACCTGCAGTCTGAAGTTCTGACAGGATTCGTTTTCTTTAGCCAATTTTTTTTAAGCGTTAAGGTTATTATTTCGGCTAAATGACTCAATATAAATCAAATTTCTAGTTTTCCAAGGTTTTTTTTTTCCGAAATGCGTTTATCTGAAAAAATACTTGTAGTCCTTGTGGTTGTTTTGTCCGTAAGGTAGTGTGATGATTCCCTGCTATGTTTTGTAACGCCGGGCCCAGCCATTGTTTTCTACAGATGATCTACAGATGCAAATTCGAAGGAAAGAATTGAGCCTAAACTTCTACATTAACTGCTGAGAATTGTCCTGTTAGTCAGTCATAATTCTTTTGTCGCAGATACAATCCATTTTGTTTTTCTTTAGATAAGTGGGTCTTTGGACTGGAGCGCGATGTCACAAATTCCTCCGTTAGCAAATTACTTTTGAGTTAGCTTCACGGTCGAGCGACTGTTCTCTTCTGTTCAACTTTTCAAGTGCCAGTTTTATAAGGCAACTCTCATGGTGATACGAGTCAGTTGTAAAGGAAGACTGCAATTTCTCAAATTTCGGAAATAAAGCATTCCTCGTTAGTTGCTACTTAGGTCATTGCTTTCGCACGCGGTGCTTAACTAGCGAAATCCACTGGGAGTCCACTCCACGGTGATGACAAAAATCAAATCCTGGCACTTTTTCGACGCTGATCATCGAAAAGTTCCAAATCGCCCACAGAACGCTTAAGCATGTACTTCGAAAAGAGTCGACGATTACATGTGGAATGTATGACGACAAATAAAAACACTGGCAAAGATAACCTTTCAGTGATCCTCAGTTCGCTCTTTGTCCCATCGCTTCATGCTCAGTCTCAGTCGGGTAATTCATTAACTTTTATTTCATGATACCCAGATCCCAGCGGCTGTAAAATTATGAAAATGGATGTGTAGTAAAAAGGAAAACTGTCGAAGGACGGGCTTCTGAGTTCGACTTCATTCAACTTCATTTTTTTCACGGTGACAAACGAGACTCACGGAAATATGACAGTTTTCGCGGGAAACAAGCCGTTCTATTTATAAATCTACTCGGCAAAGGGTTGACTGAAGAAATTAATGGAGAAGGAGGCTCCATTTGATGGGCTCCTGGCAATACTGAGAATTTACTAAATATAGTGAAAAAAATAATTAAAGTAACGAATGTATCGAGCAAGCGGATAAGGAAAATCCTCAAACTTCCTCCTTTTATTATTGGTGTATAAATTGATATAAAACCGAGATTGAGCGGCAAAAAGTTCAAATCCCCGACTGAAAAAAGGAAAAAAAAGATTATAATACTTTGCGAGACGAAAGCAGGCTGTTTCAAAACCCACTGTTTTCTTGATTTCCTTCATCCAAACGCTAAAAATACGAAATGCCATTACCTAAGCCCCTACGACCCGGGCCAGCGAAAAAGAAAAACATTCCTCTAAAGAAGAAAAATCAACTCCTAGTACAGGAGGCAGCGTGACTGGGGGTCATCGCATCAGACTCGCAATCCGGCGGTCTCGAGTTCGAGTCGGAAACAATGGAGAGGTACGACAAGTTTGGACATGTTTATCAGAGTGCATAAAAGTGTAGGATTTGCATATTTATTACCTTTCTCTCAGCTAATAATAACACACGACCTTATCTTTACGAAATTCTTGCGCATTTTATTCATGAGATGAAGACAAAAGGTTATGACGTCATCGGCGTTAATGTATTCCCTCGCAAGTTACTGAGCTCCCCCGCAAAAAAATCAATTTCATCCCTATTATACTACTTGACTTAATATACACACCACTTTTATTACTTAAAACGACAACGTCATTTCAGTCTTTCCACTCAGATAATATAAACAGATGAAGTTTGGATGCAATTTCTAAAAAACGCTCAATTCAATTGCCAATACGAAAACCGGACACCACGTCTAATGGACGCCCTCGAGCTCCTGGACAGTTATTCCAAAACGCTAGGAATTAGCAAAAACGAGAAAAACAATTAAATTTATTCAGTTTCTTTTTTGATTGGCAAGAAAGTATGCGCATTGCATCTTGTTCAACGTCAAATCAAAATCACAGTAAGTATTCTGACATCAAAAGCTGAGGATTGAGAACCACAGGGTCTAGACGTATTAATGCCGATGGACTGGATAGTCTGCTATTTATATAGTGTGGTGGTATATTCGTTATTTTTGTGGAGTTTGTTACAGTTATGAGAACAAAGAGATTAAGAGTCACGTTGACGGCAAACGGCAGATTTAAGTTGAGAATTGCTCAGAATAGAAAATAAGAAGATAAAAACTGTTCAGAACAATTCTTATGGATAAAGCTGGCCTGGAACAAAATAGTTTTGAGTAGACGAAATAAACAGTAAACGACAATTAAGGGGAAAACTTCAACACAGCCGAGTAAACGTGATCTCTCTAATAAACTCCTCTTTCTTTTAAACGCATCCTGTTTATCAAACGCCCCCGCTTGGGTTCCCAAAATTAAATGGACGTCCCAGGCGTCTATTAGATCATTTACGGTGTACAAAAGAACCACAGGGTAAACATGCAATTAATAATCGAGGAAGGTTTTGTTTGTCCATGAGTATATTGCAAAAAGCGAGCGTTTTTAGTCGTTATAGCGTCAGAAACATATATTAAAGGTTTTTTGCGAGATAACAGATGTCAATGAATCTAACATCGCTTAAGGTACAAAATATTTTGCCATTGAGCGAAATCTTCGTCTTCATTCAGTGCGAGTAGGCCAATTAAACTTGTATTGCTTGGCAAGATATCGGACGTCGATTAAACATTATAAACATACGTAGTACACGGACCGAAAATACAGACGAACGATGGGAAATCTTAATGGAAAGGTTACGTTGACTACCTGAAGATGACTACCTCAAGTACCACAGGTTTCCGAAGCTTTTCTCCGGGTACTCCGGTTTTCCCCTCTCCTCAAAAACTAACACTTCCAAATTCCTATCTGGAACGACACGTTCCAGATAACGTCAACGTGACACGTTTAAACGAGTTCTTAAGAACTCCTATGTGCTTCGTGGGTAAACAAGAAATTTATTATTATTATTATTATTTTACAACTATGGACTTCATTGCCCTATACGATTAGGAGTAGCCCCTCAGTAACATCTTTTAAAAAGACACTCAAGACATTTCTATTTCAGAAAGCTTTTTTGTAATTTTATGTGCTTTTTAATCTCGTTTTAGGCAGTTTTTTTTGCGATTTAAGTAGTCTAGGTGATTTTTATATTTTTAGTGTTGTCGTAATTTTTTTTAAAACTTTTTTTTGGTAGGCTCATGCACTTTGTAAACATTAGGAAGTCTCGGTCATTTTTTTTTTTCAAATATTTTTATTTTGAAGCGCTGTAATATTAGCAATATCGATAACGGCGCTATATTAGTTTTATCATATATTACTATTAACACATACAAATCGAACCTAAGTGAGAGGATACATAGAATATAACGCGTGTTACTAAAGATGATCTGCTCGCAGCACTTAAATTAAATTTTTTTTGGAACCACTAGAAATATTGCAATGACGAGCACATTCGAATGAGTTTTTCAGCTCTTAGGTAATAAGTGTTAAAATAAGCTACCTACTATTTTACTTACTAACGTATTAACATGTACTTAATGCTCCATTTACAATGTAACAAGTTTTGTCAGTCAGAAATGCTTTCCAGAGCAACAAAAGTTTTCACTTTCCGCCCAGGACTGCCTAGGAATGTAAACGTCCTAAGTGCATTTCAGTACTTTCACAAAAGCTCTTCTGAATTCTTTATTTTTCCATCCGTAAATAAGAGGATTACAGATGGCGTTCAAGCCATTTGCCACGTCGTAAACGATAAACTTGTAAGGCCTACGTTCTGGATGGCCACACTCGGACAGCTTCCCGAAAAAGCGAAGGCATGTCACAACCAACAACGGTATGATACTGAGAAGGCATACTGCTATCATCACGGCGAGAGTGCGGTTAGCTTTCATTTCATGCTTGATTCGATGAGGTAATCCTGAGATGTCAGCTTGCTCTCTGATCTGCCTTCCGTGCTTAAGAGACACTATGAAGATGTAGGAGTAGGACCATAAGATGATAACTAGGGGGATAACCAATAGTGTTATCAACAAGAATATGAGATATCCTTTAGTTAAAGGAGGCAAGTCACGATTTGGGGGTTCTTCGGGAGTCTTACTATAGGGATTCATCGCCTGGCGGAACTGTTCGAAATCGTCGATGGATGCTTTAAGGACCTGTGGGAAAACAAACATAACGGCGGCAGCCCACAGCCACATGGCGATAGAAACGATCAGTGCCCGGCGATCGGTTACTATGATGTGGTATCGCAAGGCGAATCTCACGGCGATGGACCGTTCCAAACTGATTAAGGCGAGGTGAAGAATGATAACTGAAAGGAGAAGGAAGCTGGAACGCGAGCTTATGTTACTCAGAATGCCAGACCAATGCCCGTCTCTAAAGCATAGATTTAAGTGTATGATGTCTAGGACTGACGGGATAGCCAGCAATCCATCAGCAATGGACAAACTCGCCAAGATTACGTTTGACGCAGTTCGAAGACTGTGAAATTTGTGGAACGCCCGGAGCATGAGGTAGCTGCCGAAAACGGCTGCGACGGCCACAATTACATGGAAATTTATCATGATAATAGACTCAGTCTTCGTCAAACCGCAGCCTTCAAGACAAAGTTTAGAGGTAGCGTTCATCTCTGTTTCGTTGTAGCAACATTTCGCTCTACTCACAGGGCATGTTCTGCCAGGTCTGCTAAATTTAGAATTGCAATTAGCAATGTCTCCTTATAAGTTTCTAATTCGCTCACATTTGCCTTTATCTGAATTTAAACTGGGCTGCGCGCAGCTGCGCTTCGCTGAATATTAAATATTATAATGTTCTTAAATGAGGATAACTACAAATTACCATGCCTACAATTAATTTAGTAATAGGTTTGTAAGTTATGAAAGGCAATATTTTATTGTTAACAAAACACCCAATGACGCAAGTCCTCTTTGCAGAGTGAAACGGAAGGAATAAATTATTTAGTAGTGACTCAATTGAGTTGGTTCCTCAACTTCTATTAAAACTTCCAAACCTTCCCCTATTGAAATAATTTATAGCACTGTTAAGGGACAAGGGTGAAAACTGGCCAAATATGAGACTTCGTTAGGAATCGGACTGGTCAAGGCAAAAAAAACACAGGAAAATTTGACACATCGCAAAGAATTCGAAAACAGCTCAAAATTAATTATTCGAAAGTCACAATTTTCAAGACTCTCTGTCATCCACGTATGATGTTACGTGTCGTAATTAATTCTCGCGGATTGATCCGGCGCAGAAACTGCTCCCGCAAAAGAACACTACCGCAAAAATTAGTTCCATGGTCGAAATTATACGTATACATAGCCCATTCACGCCATTCATTTGACTCAAAATAGATGTTGACTACCATACAAAAAGCAACACTGTGCACACCCAATTACAATACTTTAAACGACGATGCAATTTCAGTTATTTTATTTTCGGATGTTGTTTTTACCGTTTTTGACTCAGATAAACGTATAAGAATTGAATGCAATTTCTAAGAATAGCAAAAACTAATTCAGAACAAGAAAAACCAAACTAAACAGATCGGAAAAATCATTTCCCTCATAATACGAATAACGTCCATTTGCAAAAACAAAGTGTCACAAGGAAAACATGCAATTAACAAACGAGAAGGGTTCTGTTTGTTCAGTATATTGCAATAAGAGAACGTTTTTAGTCATGAAAAGCAGTTATTTTAGTAAAGATAACAGGTGGATACTCAACTTATATTCAAGTAATTCAGCTTTGTCTTCGAAAGAGACAATACCTTCTTGATATCGAGCAGCCATCCGGCAGCGGACTGATAAATCGCGCCGGGGGAGCACTCAACAAAGTTTTATACGGGGAGGCTCCGTTCCGAAGTCAAAAGATTTAACTTCTCATATACTACGTATACCATTTTTGACAGAAAAGGAATCCCTTTTGTATACCCTTTTATTGACAAATGGTACCGGTCCCCTTTCACATACCTAAATTAGGATGCTGCATCGTTTTGAACTGCCATATATTCACTGTATATTAATTGTGAAAAATTACTAAACCAGGAGGTTTTTCTCGACTTCTTCGATTCAAAGCCATAGCAAATAACAGATTTCCGGTCCTATTCTTTCATATACTTTAACTAGCCAGGTGAAATCCCTCGCCTTACCAGCAGCTGAAGCTTTAACAAAGAACCCTGTTCGGGCGGATCTCCCCTTTAAGGCCACCAAGCAAACTCGTATCCGCTGTGATACAAGAGGGAGGAAGGATTTTAAAATGATCCCGATCGGGTTTTCCTCCGTTACAGCGTTTTATTTGAGTTGACATTAAATAGATAATTGGCCATGAGCTACTGGTGAACCTTTGACGTGATCCAAAACGGCAGACAACATGGGCGGCCATGACCTCAAAGATGAGCCTTCTTTCAAACCTTTCCCGCCTGGGGGAGGAGGAAATGCGAAATAACAGAGACGAAGATGATCGTCGGAAAATTGAAATTTTCATTGTATAGGAGACCAATATGTGGCGACTGGGTCGTTACTTGACTCAAGCAAGAACGAGGGCATTTGATTGTTTCACATAGTTATTTCTTTACTCACAATCCGCAATAATTAACCTCTATGGGTAAAGATATCATATTGGTTTCCGTCATGATCAATCCTAAGCGAGGCGCCGAATATTCCATCCACTTTCATATGGAAGTCGCCCCCTTCCCCGGGCTCCCAACAGATCTTCTTTGAACCGTGTACATACACGGTACATAAGTTTTTGTGATTTATTTTTGCGTATGGAATGTAAAGAACGTATTCATTGCATTATACTAAGAGACTAGAATGCTTGATATTCATTTAAAACTTTTGTGGGGAAATTTTGCTTCTTTCCCGTGCTATCTGCAAAAGCACCAGTAAAATTGGTCAGCTTTTTCTTTTACAACTTTTGGGAGTTAAAGGGTGACTGCTGGGGGTCCTGGAATCGCCGTTGGCATTTCCCAGCCATATCAACAATTCTTCGATCTTAAGTCTCAGTTCTTAATTTAAAATCCCTCTCACTTCTCAGCCGACAGTAAAAAATTTTGACAAATTCGCAATGTGTCAGTGAATGTCCTCCACTGGGCTTTTTTTAATGATCTTTTTCCCTAGATCTGATCATAAGACATAGTCTCTTTTTTTACTCAACCTGTGACCAGCTTACATTCGTGCCACTATACTATTATTATACATGAAATGAATAAGCATTTGACACCATACAGTTCCCGCGCAGGGCTCTTTTTGAGTCCAGTAATTTGGCAGATAGAAACCTCGAGCTGTTTTCAGTGGCTTACCGAAGGGAGTTTGGTATCGTTTGAACCCCTTATGAGTTTCTGCCGGTACTTGATGCTTAGCCAATTCGCATTAAACAAAACATTTTTAAACACCTAAAAACGTTTGCGCACTAAGCAACATTTCAGCATCTTACGAAAAGCGTTTCTAAATTCTTCATTTTTCCATCCGTAGATAAGAGGGTTGCATATGGCATTCAAAAACATGGCCACGTCGTAAAGGATTTGCTTCAGTAGCTTTTGATGGCAGCGGCCTCCGAGTGATACGCCACGGAAGACTCGGAGGAAAGTCACAGCCAGCATAGGGATGATACTGAGCAGACACAGCGCTACAATAATGGCGAGAGTGCGGGCACCTTTCATTTGATGCTTGATAATGGGCATTCCTCTAACGTCGCGGCCCTGTTCTCTGACATGTTGTCTCTGCTTGTAGGACACTATGAAGATGTAGGTGTACGAGCATAAAATGATCAACAGGGGGACAAGAAACATTGACGCAGCTTGGAATACAAGATGCCATCTGGTGTGGAGCACTTGGGAAGTATTACTGTCTGCATTTCTGAAATCTTTCCCCATTAGCTTAAGTACCTTTGGCAGAGCTATCGTAACGACCAGAGCCCACAGCCACATTGCGATGGAAACGATCCGCGATCGGCGTTTGGTCACTATGGTGTGGTATGTTAAGGCGAACTTAATGGCGATGAAACGCTCCACACTCATTAAAGCGAGATGAAGAATGATGACCGAAACGAGAAAGAAGGTGAAAGTTCTGCTTACCTCTTTAAGAACAGGAACACGTAAAAGATACTTTACTTCACTAGCATTATACCTTATGCTCAAGTGAATGATGTCTAGAATTCGGGAAAGCGCCAGTAAACCGTCAGCGATGGAAAAACTCACCAGAATGATGTTGGATGCAGTTCGCAAATTTTGAAATTTGTGAAACGCTCTGAGCACCAAATAGCTGCCGAGCAAAGCAGCGACTGTGATAACCACATCAAAGTTCAACTGTAGAATAAATTTCCACGTCTTCTTCTGTGAGGTATGGTTTCGACCAGAACAATTCATCCGTGTTTGGATCATTGAAGGAGTATTGTGCCAGCTACGTTGCTGGTAAAGTTTGGCACTGCCTTATGGTCAGAACTTAATGTTATTATGCTCTCCTGATAAATGCTACTGTTGATCCGTTTCTTGTCATACTTACTCGGCAAAATAAATGCTGGCAGCCATAGCCAGGTGAAATGGCGGCTCATTTTATGATATTAGATAACGATATCTACTTTCATTCATAGCGTTCCCTATAAGTTTTAATAGCGTCAAAACAAAATACAAATGAATACTGAATAGCGATAAAATATGATTATAATAAACCGTTTTGTAACCTAAAATTTCCTAATTTCTCTTGCAACTTTATGAGGTTGCAAACAAATAAGCTGGTTTACATCAGGTACCTGCCCTAACAAATGCCTTCTAAACGTCAAACTCTTAAGTTTTTCCTTACAAATCCATTAAGAAAACAAATAGCATGTCAAGAGTCAAGGAAATAAAAGTAGCTATCACATGCCGCGTATTGTCAGTATTTTTATGTTCTTATTGTTATTAAACAACTGACTTTTTTTAAACGGGCATATGAATAATTCTTATTAAATAGTGTCAGTCCAGTGTATTTAGACTTGGTAAAACAGGAATCTTGGGATTGTAGAACTACTAAGAGATTTTCTATAGAGCTAATATTTCGGAGATAATCACCCCAGTGCCTCTTGTCGTTTCCCCGAGCAAAATTAGAGCTAAAAAGGCGTTGCTATACCAGGTATAAAGACGCTGCAAAGAATTAATTCCTTTTTTCATTTTATTATTTCATTGTTATTATGATTATGATTATGATTAAGATTATTCTTCTCATTATTAGTCAACAGTTACCAGCACCATTCAAACGACTTATTGACGACTTATTGACGAAAACTAACTACAAGAGAACGACTGCACAACTGTCTTTTTAACTGTGACAATAGACGGATCGAAACGCGCCAAAGACATTACGGGTCTTCATAGCCAATAACATCACGGCTTAACTGAGAGACGACCAATAACATGGCGACTTGATTTACCAATCAGGTCAATAACCATATTTAAATACCATCAACTGACGTGATACAACTCCCTTTAACTCTGAAGATGACTACCTTACAGGTTGTCGAAACGTCAGTCACTGTCAACAACAACAGTCCTATTCAGGACTACGTTCACCCGGACGATCATACTCAACCTTAAACTCATGAAATGACTCCTGGGTTGTTGTTATTATTATTATTATTATTGTTATTATTATTATTATTATTATTATTATTATTATCATCATCATCATCATTATGATGATGATTATTATTATTATTATTACAAACGGACTCTTAAGTCAGTTTATAGTTTTTGACAGACATGTTTCTTTGCGGTTTAAAATAAATTTTCAATTCTTTGCACTGAAAGGAAAAGAAAAGCAAAGTAAAGATGCGATTATCAGCTGAATACAAAGTGTTATCATTCAAGGAAGCAGACACTCTGGCTCAACACGTCCTGCTTTATTGCAAATGGAAACACGTCATTCACTAAGTAGTAAGATAATAAATGGAATTCATAGTCGCTGGCAACGTTTCAATCAAATTCAAAACTTATTAAGCAGCGGAAGTAGTTAGGAGCGGAACACAGATAATAACGAACGCCCACAATTTTACATGCGCAGGTGTTCATGTTAAGCCGAAAAGAAGCGACCAAAAGAAAACAATTTGCGAACACCCGAAGATGGCTGCAAAACTTAGTTATTTACCACTTTTCTTAAGTCATTCGAAGTTTGGAAGTTTGATAAAAACGGATTACAGTGATGCTTAATACTGAAAAAGACTTTTCGACCACCCAGTTCAGTAGTTTTTAAGCTAAAAAAAATGCGATTAAAATTATCATATTATATTTAACATATTTTAAACTTTAACGAAAACATAATTTAAAAACTTTTCAGTCAAATGAAGACTTGACGAAGCAATTCTTCCGAAGCAAGGTTGCGAACAAGACAGGTAAAACAAAAACATGCGAGACAAATGAAAATTTATTTGGCCTTGTTCACGCGTCTACCAAAAAGGTCACGCGTCACCTATGGTAAGTAGATTACTTTACACCCTTTCCTCGTAACGTGAGTTTGGGCTGCCTGTGGTCTCAGTTCTTAATCAAAAATCCCTCTCACTTCTCAGCCGACGATAAAAATTTTGAAAAATTCTCAATGTATCAGTGAGTGTCCTCCACTGGGCCTCTTTCAAAAGTATTTTTTTTCACTAGATCTGATCATAAAACATATAATTAGTTTCATTTTTAACTCAAAAGGAAACTTTTCTCATAAAATTTGACATCTTATATTCGTGCCACTATATTATTATCATACAAGACATGAATAAGCATTTGACACCATACAGTTTCTGGGTACGGCTCTTTATTTGAGTCCAGTAATTTAGCAGGAAGAAACCTCTTGAGCTGTTCTCAGTGGCTTACAAAAGGGAGTTTGGTATCGTCTGGTACCTGATATTCGGCCGATTTGCCTTAAATAAAATAATACAGTTAATCTTGGGTATGGCCTAGGACGCGCCTATTAATAATAAACAACGTTCGCGCACTAAGCTCACTTAGCAGCATTTCAGCATCTTACGAAAAGCGTTTCTAAATTCTTCATTTTTCCACCCATAAATAAGAGGGTTGCATATGGCATTCAAAAACATGGCCACGTCGTAGACGATCTTGTGTAGTCTGCACATTTGATAGTTGCGGCCCCCGGGTGATTTGCCAGGGAAGACTCGGAGGGTTGTCACAACCAGCAAAGCGATGATACTGAGTAGACACAGCGCTACAACAATGGCGAGAGTGCGGGCACCTTTCAAGTGATGCTTGATGGTAGGCATTCCTGTGACTTCGCGGCCCTGTCCTCTGACAAATTGTCTCTGTTTGAAGGACACTATGAAGATGTAGGTGTACGAGCATAAAATGATCAGGAAGGGGACAAGAAACATTGACGTAGCAGTGAATACAAGATGCCATCTGGTGCCATCTTGGTTTGTATTGTATTTTTTATTACATTCATGTGTATTCATATGTCGGTGATATTTTCCGTGATCCTTGCCTGTTGTCTTCTGAAGAACCTCTGGAACAGCCACATTAACGACCAGAGCCCACAGCCACATCGCGATGGAAACGATCCGTGCTCGGCGTTTGGTCACTATGGCTTGGTATCTTAAAGCGAACTTGATGGCGATGAAACGTTCTAAACTCATTAAGCTGAGATGAAGAACAATGACCGAAAGGAGGAACAAGGTGACAGTTCCGCCTACTTGTTTAAGAATACATGGAGGATCCCCACCATTATATCTAAGGCATAACTGAATGATATCAAGAATCAAGGGAATCGCTAGTAAGCCGTCGGCGATAGACAAACTCACCAGAATGTTGTTGGAAGCAGTTCGCAGGCTCCGAAATTTGTGAAACGCTCTAAGCACGAAATAACTCCCGAGCAAAGCAACGATTGTGATAATCCCATGAACGTTCAAAAGTAGAATAAATTCCCACTTCGGTAAGGGACAGTTCCCCATTACGGAAGGAAGATACGCTGTCTGTACAGTTCAGAAGGGATTCTTCTGTGTTGGTTAATTGCGGGAGGAAAATTGTGCCACCTATGTTCCTATATACAGTTCGAAACACTTACTTATACCACTGTTGTTCCGTTTCTCATCATAATCAAACTAGTCAGCAATGGCCAGGTGAACTCAACTCTGTATATGATCAAAGGATATTAGTTAACAATCATTCGTCGAGTGCAAATGGGCTATTGACTTAGAGGCCATGAGGGCGAGAGGAATAATTGTTTTAGTAAAATCCAACTAGTTGGTTAAAAATATCGAGACAAAACAACTTTAGCTATCAAAACGCGATTCAGCCGCCATTGTTTTGGTTTTTAAAGCCGGCGCTTTTCGCTAGATTGGTGGACAATAACATGTAGCCTAATAGTAGATCAACCAATCAGAACGCAGCATTGATAATAGATCACAAGCTGGATTTTACTAAATAACGATAGCAACTATTGATGATGTTCCTTTTGTTTTAATAGCGTCAAAACAAATACGACGCACCTGCAATAAAGGTAAAATTAAACCATTTTTATCAACCAAAATCCAAATAACCGGATTGTCCATAAAATATGCAGGTTAATGTTGGGTGACTTCCTTAATTACTGCTTTCTAAAAAGTCAAACTCTAAATTTCTTCGCAAATTCATTGAGAATCCAGTAAGAAAGTAAATAACATGTCAAAATTACGTAGTATACAGTTATATAAATAAAACTAGTTATCATGTATTGTGTTTTTAAGTCTTATTAAACAACTGACTGCGTTTAACGGTGAAATGAACAAGCACAAAATAAAGTCAAATAATCCATAAAAAAAATGAGAACCTTATATTTGGCCTAGAAAGAAATTAAAACGAAAGAACTGTGGCACTCTTAATAAAAAGTAGCTGTAATAGCAGGGTTTGAAAGTTTCATAAACTAGTAAGTTCGTCTTATCGAGTATAAAGTACAAGGAAAAGCCGAACATGTATGAAGTGCGAGCTTATTCAGTAACAGATCTAAAAACCTCTTCTAAATACTCCTTTGAATTAATATTATCATTACTATTATTACTAAAATAATAATAATAATAATAATTATTATTATTATTATTATTATTATTATTATTATTTAAGAGATTATCAAGTCAGTTTATTAATATCAACATCAGAACCTGCTTCACACGTACAAAATGCATGGGTCCTGTTTCTTTGCGACTGTGGATAAGTTTCGGCTTAAAATAACCGTTTTAAATTCTAATATGCACTGGATGGAGAAGAGGATCAAAGTGAAGGCGCCATTGTCAGCTGAACAGAAATTGTTTTTATTCGTGGAAGTAGACACACTGGCTCGACACCTTCGTTTTTGAGCCATTAATCAAGCGACTAGGAAACGTCAGTTTTCATTTCTAACTTTATGATGCTGTGTTATTAAAAATCAATTGACACGCGTAAACCATTATGTAGGAAAATAATGAATTCCAAAGGAGAAATAAATTGAATTCATACTTGCTGACGACAGTTATAAGAAATTAAACTTATTAAAGAGCGGAAGAAGTTTGGAGTGGAATAGAGACAATGAAGAACGCCCACATAAGCTTAAAAAAGGCGATTAAAATTATCATATTATATTTATCATATTTTAAACTTTAACGAAAACATAATTTAAAAAACTTTTCAGTCAAATGAAGACTTGACGAAGCAGGACAGGCGCTCCTATTCTTTATATTTCCATTTGAATATTTGATTTCGGGCCCGATAAGTTAGCGGGACTTTCGAGAAACGGGCCTCTGGACCCCTGGGGAAGTCTCTACAAACTAGAGGTAATGTTTTTTTAAAATCGGTATTTTAAAAATTTTAAAAACTTTTGCTGATATCCATCAAACCTATACTGCAATAAAATCCAGCTCCGGATTGAAAAATAAGAGGACCTTCGAGAACAGGTATTGCTCGCGTTAATATAGCGGCGTTATGAGTTCGCCTGGCTGCAGACTGCGGCCCACTTCTTAACTCATGCAGCTTTTATCAAGAACGAGAAGTCCAAAGACTACTGCAAAGCCAGTTCAGAACAACTTGTAATGTTTTTTCATAATAATATTTCGGCTGGCCATACCAGCCTTCTTCAAGCTTACAGATGTTACTGTTACAGATGTTACTTTTGTCAATCATTCACATTTTGGCGTAACACCCTCCAAAGTTCATTTAATTCCGGCCTCGAATCTCAAATATGTATCGATGGTAAGTGTAAACTCGCTGGATATAGCAAAAACCATGTAAATTGTCATACGCTCTTAGAGTATCAATCGTAGCTCACACTCACGAATTATACTGACGAGATGCCTGCAGCGTTTGCATTCCTTCGGGAAGTTCGCAACTATCTTGTTCGAGTTTTTCTATGACAACTTGACTTTTAGAAAACGAGGACAAGTAGTCTTTTTGTTTTAGAAGAAACCAACTGGCAAACTAACTTTCATTCTATACCAGGTTTTGATGACAATTTGTAAAAAAAGAAGCCTTTTAATTTATATATACACATCTTGAATTCACAAAACGTTGAGAAAAAGAACAAGAAAAACCAGGTTCAACTCATCGCGAAAGTTAGTTCTTGTAAAATATAATTTAAAAAAACCCCATTCGCAAAAAACAAAGTGCCATAAGGCGTAGACATACAATTAATAAACGAGGAAGGCTCTGTTTTTTTAGCATACTGCAATAAGAGGACGTTTTTAGTCATGGAAAGCAGTAATTTTTAGTAAAGATAAGAGCTGGATACAAAATTTGAAGCGGAGCTCTCGCGCGAGAAGCGCGCGCAGCAGAACACCATGGGTAAAAAAACGTGGTAATCTACCCGTCCGAGAAATTTTGGCAATCACGTGACCGTACGTCCAATGTAACAATAAAAGGCATACCAATGTAAAATAATTCAATTAACAGTTATGGCAACCCAAATGCAACTCAAGGTTATTTTGGCGGAAAATCGCATAGCCACCCGCACTTTGTAAAGCAGAGACAACTAAAGAGTCAATAAAGACGGAAAGCGGAAACTGTTTCTGTATCTGTGTTGTTTAAAGTATTAAGGTTACATTACTTGTCATGTCCACAAATTTGGAATATAGGGCTAGAGAAAGTAGGCGGCAGACCAGGGAAGCTCAACGAGGAAAAGGGCGATAGAGATCTTTTCAAGAGCGAGAGACAAAAAAAGAAGAGGCAAAGAAGACATTTTTTTGTTGGAAGAACAACGTGAAAATTTTGTAGCGGCGGTGAGAAATGAGAAATGCTAGCGACCACTAATGCAAGGTGAAAATAAGTGGCTGTGAAAAAAAAATTAACGAAAACACGTACGACAGTAACTAAGACGTTTCTGGAAGTTTCACGTTGTGGTCGTGCAAAATAACGGCAAAGAAATGTACAAAAAAGCGTGCAAAGTTTCTTTTTGCTAATTAGACATATTGTTGTTTTTTCACCGTTCTCCGGCGTTGCCTTCGCCGCTTAGCATTACACCATTTTATATTTTGTTTGAACAAACTATAAATATCTTCGAGAGCTTCGCTTTTTTTTTTTTTTTTTTTTTTTTTTTTATTTTTTTTTTTTTTTTTTTTTTTTTTTTTTTTATTCAAGTAATTCAGCTCTGTCTTGGAAGAAGACAATACCTTCTTGATATCGACCAGCTGTGCGGCAGCGGACTGATAAATGCCCCCAACCCGGGGCGCGCTCAACAAATTTTTATACGAGGAGGCTTCGCCCCGAGGTCAAACGCCTTAACCTTTCATTACCACATATACTATTATTGACACAAAAGGTACCCCTTTCGTCGATCCTTCTACTGGCAAATGGTACCCTGTTCACATAGCTAGTTTAGGACGCAGCATTGCTTTGAACCGCTGTAAATGCACTGTCCTTAATTGTGAAAAAATAACTAAGCCGGGGAGTTTTCTTGACTTCTTCACAACCAAAAAATGTATCTCTGATAGCCCTTTTGGGTACTTTCAGCGGCCGAAATGACAGATTTTATTATCCTTTTATACACTTCAACTAGCCAGGTGAAATCCCTACCCTTTTATATACCTGAAGCTTGAAAAAGGTCCCGTTCAAGCGGACCTCCCTATTAAGGCCACTACAGGGAGTAACCCCCGGGTATAAATCACAAGCAATGGTTTCCAAAACTTAGATATAAGGATTAAGTAGAAACGCCATGGCAAGGTTAACCTCCAGTGCCAATCTGTAGCCCTAAGTGTTGAGAGAGAAAGGTGTAGCAAATTTTCTTGTCTAATGCCGTGACAACCAGGTATGAGAAGGCTCGAACCCGACTGGAGGAACCGATAATTAGTTCGACGTGTTGACCCCTCGGACACCGAATTTGCACTAGTAAGATGAATTCAAGCCGCTTTTTCGATCTTTTCCCATAGTTTGGTAAAACGACACCCAAAATTAAATAAATCACAAATGGTAATCCACTATTAACACCCTGATCGGTGGAAAAGCAAACTCGTATCCACCGTGATACCGGAGGGAATTTAAATCCTCGATTGGGTTTCCTTCCATTACAGCGTTTTATTAGACTTAGCATTTAGTGTGCTACTGGAGACCTGTGACGTCGTCCAAAATGGCGGCCAACCTGGGTGACCATGATCTCTTCGGATTCAGATTTACCGAAATATATAATTTTTTTTCGGTTAGATTTTTAAAAAATACGATCTCATTTTTCCACTCTTCTAATTCAATGCTTGCCAAAGAAAACCCTGCTTGGGGACAAACGTTCAGGATCAAACTCTGCTACGAAATCTACAAAATTCACGATTTTTCGCGATAGCCTTGCGAAAACTGCAAAATTTGCAAACCTAACGGTTTTCCGCGATGACCTTGCGAAAACTACAAAATTACAAAATTAACGGTTTTTCGCGAAGAGCTTACAAGAAACGGCGCTGCGGATTTTACAATTTTAACGGCAATTGCAAAA